CCCTTTCAAATAACCAATACTTATTTCGGATGTATGTATTGTTACAAAAAAGTGGGTTATTCTTGCATCATGCAAGCCAAGTAAGCACTCGTTGAATAGGAGATATCTTGTGATGTCAACAACTATGTCCATTTATTGTTTTCATGCTTTGTTAAAGTCATAAACCATCAAAAGCAAATTTTGATTGATCCCAATGTTCTGTCTGTTACAGGATTTTCGTTGTGAAAGCATGCCAAGTAAAACAGTTAAAATATGTACATTTTGTTCATACAGTTACGTTGATACTAAAGAGGATTGTTTATGGAATGGAGTAAATAGTTGTATTGTTTGTGGTATTGAAGTATTTATCAAACATAGTGAAGCTAAGGCCTGTAGTCTCCATTCATTCTCTTTAGATCATTCATGTTTTATATGTGATGGGTTTGGCAGTGGTTCTGTACCAGGTGTATTGTGTTTTGACTGTGGTTTTGGATACAGATGTTGTGTTCTAGAGCTGGATTAGATCATATCTTCTTATCTCGGACTAGTGATTTTGTAGACAATACTTGATCTCATTTGAAATTGAGCAAAATTTTACCAAAAAGAATGAATTTCAATTGTATTGTAATCGACTAAATCAATTCGTCTTGTTTTACTAAATTTATTTTGTAAAATGTGGACTTGAATGTATTTAGGATGTTGCAATGACTTTTGTTATGCTCTTATAGATTTTATATATTCAGAAATGTGCCATCCTCTTTTGAAAGGGGAAAAAATCTTTGAATACTTGTCCACCTTCATATGTTCAAATTTCAAAGATTATGATTTTGCAGCTTTGATATTTTGGTGAAATAAACCTATAGAAATGTGAAGTATAATTAATTTTTAATACTCAACGCAACTTTTTTTTTATCATTTTGTTTATTATTCTGATCTATATTCCATCCATCAATTTTATTTTAAATATATTGTACATTTTTATTTTTTTTATTTAATAATGATCTTTGTTAATTTTGTGCTCATTTCAATTTTTAAGCGATTGAGATGCAACAGTTCAGCAAGTCCCCAAGTACCTGGTACTAAAGAAGCCAAATTTTGTGCCTTTTGTTCTTGTAAAAGAGGGTTGTTTAAAGCCACTAAATTTTGGCAATCTAAAGACTGTTGTATAGTATGTGGAGCTCATGCTTTTGGTCATCAAGTGTATTATGGAAGAATGTGTTCTTTTCACTCTACTGGGGCACCAAATACATCTAAATGTATTGTGTGTAATAATATTATATTTGATAAACAATCTATGAATGTCAGTAAAGGTAAATTATGTAATCAATGTGGTTTTGGTAATTATTCTAAAACTTGTTGTATTTTAAACCCCAGAACCTAGATCTCAATTTGCTCAGAATAATCCTTTGTTTTATTGTTTTTCATAACAATAAATAAACTTATCTTATCCCCATATTTATGTACCAAATATAATGTACACTATTTCTAATCCCCAAATAATTGATAAGTATAGTTAATAGTTTCATTTTAGAATTCATTTCTTCTAAGAAAAACAATGTAATTTTGTCTAATTTATAATTTGTATTCTGTGTGAGTTTGTGTGTGTGGGTTACCTCAATGGTCCTCAGGAATTGTTTATGTTAAAGCAATCATGCTTTTATAAAAGTAATTGAAATTTGAATAATGTTTTTTTTCTTAAAATTAAAATCATCTTACTGTGATAAGAACATGAAAGCATATGGTAGTTATATTTATCTTGACCGAAATCTGTCTTTTTGTTATAATTTTAATTGTGCCATATTTTATTATATTTTGATCTGATGTTGGTCTCTAAACTCACAGATTTTTTGTTAGTTTTTGTATAGTGGACTCTTGTGGAAAATAAAAATGATGATTGTAAAATTGTTTTTTTAGTGCTTATCTCTTAACTTTAAGTTGTGGAAGCTTGTATTGAAAGATATATCTGCTTTGGAAGAAGGTTTTTTTTAATACGTGCCAACAGATTTGCTTATGCACAATTGTTGCTGCAAATTATGTCACAAATTGGTGGGAAAATTAACATCTCATATTATGAATATATATATATTTTTTGTTGAAGTCTATATGCCTTTTATTATTTATTTTGTACAATTTTATCTCTTGTTATTTCATCTATTTCATACTTAAATGAATATTTTATATTCACCTGTTTATTCTTTTGTTAAATTTTAATTATTATTCATATATTAAATATATTTAACTTCCTTCATGAGTTTACTTATTGAATATTAAAATTGACTTGTCCCTATGACTTACTGAATATCCAAAATGATCTGTCTCTGTGTCTATCTGAATATCTAAAATAACCTGTCTCTGTGTCTATCTGAATATATAAAATTACCCGTCTCTGTGTCTTACTGAATATCTAAAATTACCCGTCACTGTGTCTATCTGAATATCTAAAGTGATCTGTCTCTGTGTCTATCTGAATATCTAAAATTACCCGTCTCTGTGTCTATCTGAATATCTAAAATAACCTGTCTCTGTGTCTTACTGAATATCTAAAATTACCCGTCTCTGTGTCTATCTGAATATCTAAAGTGATCTGTCTCTGTGTCTATCTGAATATATAAAATTACCCGTCTCTGTGTCTTACTGAATATCTAAAATTACCCGTCACTGTGTCTATCTGAATATCTAAAGTGATCTGTCTCTGTGTCTATCTGAATATCTAAAATTACCCGTCTCTGTGTCTATCTGAATATCTAAAATAACCTGTCTCTGTGTCTTACTGAATATATAAAATTACCCGTCTCTGTGTCTTACTGAATATCTAAAATTACCCGTCACTGTGTCTATCTGAATATCTAAAGTGATCTGTCTCTGTGTCTATCTGAATATCTAAAATTACCCGTCTCTGTGTCTATCTGAATATCTAAAATTACCCGTCTCTGTGTCTATCTGAATATCTAAAATGATATGTCTCTGTGTCTAACTGAATATTTTAAATTTATTTTTGCAAAAATTCAGAAATGACCCGTCTGTGTCATGCATATATCTAAAAGTTCATTTATCTCTTGGAAATAATAAATAATAGAAATGGTTAAAGAAGGGGAAAATTGAATTACGACTTGTAGTATGCAGGCCTACTTGCATATTCACTTAGAAGTTATTGAACACAAGACAAATTTGAAATTCTAATGTAAATTTTAAGTTTAGTTGATATGTATTAAATGACTAATTCCCTGGGGCAATATACAAATACTGCACTATAAATCCTCTGTGTCATCTACTACACTGTTTGACCTAGTTGGCTGACTACCTGGACAATCTATTCATTCAACAGTCAAATGGATGGTTGATAATTTACCAACATACCGGACAAACAGCAAAGAATGACATGGATTTAGTTAGATCGATTAAAAACATACAAAAACTATAAGTATTAATATAATGTTATTAATAAAGCTTTACCAAGGAAGACGTAAAGACGCAACAGATGTTCAAATTCGATCATCCACTCCAACGTGTTGCTTATATTGATCTTACTACTTGACATATTAAGATTGTTTTGCGTTTTAAGTCTTGTAATTGTACATTGGCTAAATACATTAGAATTTGAAATGTAAGTCTTGTTTTTATCAGGAAAGTTTCATACCAGACATTCGGTAAGTTATCGTTGTATCAAATTTAATATTAACCTATGGAATGTCCCAGTTGTCACATTCCTTGTTTTGAGTTTGTTGGGTATTTGGATCTTATTTAAATAATAAAACTAATACCTGAATCCCGATTGAAATGATTTCAACCAAATTATGATATGAAGTAATTTTCGTTACTCCTTCATGTAATGATGACCTGATAAAAAGCTCATTCTTAGCTCGTTTAAACATGGTTTGAATTTTATAACTGAACTGAAACTTGGTATATGCCTGGTCTTCATTATAGCAATGTTGTACTAAATAATACAAATACTCATGGACTATAAGATCTACATGTTTGCATGACTGCTAAGGACTGTCACTGGCTTTGATTCCAATCCAGATATGAATGGAATGGCACATGTTTACCCCCTTATACCAAACCCTTAAAGTGATCGTTTATCGGCCTACCCCTTGTCATTACAGATATGGAGTGGAGAGTAATTGTTTTTACAATAATATTGCTATTATTGGTCAAAAGATGTGATTCAGCTACGTCAACAACAACAACAATAACAACGACGACAACGACGACGAAATCTTCAGATGTTACAACATCAGTACAACAAAAGCCATCTGAAAACAAAGACTCAGTTGCTGGTACTAGGCCACCATCTAACAATGGAGTTGGTGAAAACAATCAAGTTATCACAACACAGTCACCACCACAGAAACTATCAGGAACAACGACCACTCAAGCTCCAGTAGTTACCAACCATACTGTCCAAACTACAAAATCCCAACAAGAACAAGAGCCCGAAAACCCAATCCAGAAAGCAACAACTGAAGCAGCTGGTAACCAAAACCCCGATCAAACATTGGTAATAACCACCAAACCAAGCGGTTCAGATGGAACAAATCTGGATAGCAACAATAAAACAACATCAGGTGCATCGGCTCAAGCTAACACAACAGCAAATCCTGAAAAATTAATAACAGCAACTACTACCCTTGCTGCAGTTGAAAGCAAAACACCAGTTGCACATAATATAACAGCTACTAGTGGCCCAAGCAACCAAAAACCTGTTGCTTTGAATGGCACATTAGTTGCCGACAACATAACACCTGCAGGTGGTGCTAGGAATCCTGAACAGATTGCTGTAAATGGCACAACACCATTTCCTACGATGGCACCAACAGCCGCTCCTGATATTCAATCTGCACGACCGAATGACACGTCAACAGTAGACGATGCTGTACAAGCAAAAGAAAATACTACAGTAGAATCTAGTCTTCCCTCTAAAAATGAAAGCTTTGTACAGATAAAACCTGGTGTACAAATCACAACGCCACCAACAGAGCTGATTACATATACACCACAATCCGACCAAAAGACACTACCACACACGATTTCAGCAACGACAGAAGCTGTCCTAGATTTAGACGAATTTAACATTGATGCTTTAACACCAGGTAAGGCCTTTTTTTAGTCTATATCCTTATTTCCCAATATTTTTAACCTGTACCTTAATAATGTTTATTTACTTGTATCATTTGGCTAAACGGCAACTGTAGAAGCAGCATTTCAAATGCGACCTGAATAGACAAACGACTTTGGCAACTGATTAACATGAACTCCTTGTTGGGAACCAAGAATTTATGGGTTAGGTCTTTGTGTTCTTCCATGAAAAAGATCTTTTGGGATCCTGAAGCAATGAGATTTAAGATTCTATGACAATTATAGATTGTAATATGACGACATGTTTTCACGTTTCCAAGTTAATGCTGCCAATAAAATTTGAATTTATTTTTCACTTGTTTCAGCTTTAATAGAACCTACAACTTATAATATTACTAATGAAGAAGAAACTGCAGAAGAGATTATAGATGAACTGATAGGTAGGTTTCCTATCATTTTTTTAATTATTAAAACCTAATACACAGAATAGGCCTAAACCAATCAGAATTGGCTAAATTTTCGAAAATTTATTTCATTAAGAATTTCTCAATCACTTGACTGACAGCTAGCGTTATGTTTTAATACGTTAGGTCATATAAAGTAAAATTTTCTTGGTTAAAAAGTGGGTAGAGGGAGCGAAACGACTAACTATTATCTGTTCCGTTTCGATTTTTTTTAATATCCAATTGTAAATCCGGAGACATATTGTGAAATGTGTAAAAACATTAAATGCAAAGTTTTAAAGGTATGTTAAATATACCATTGATTAGTTATATCTCTGCTTTAAGACTATAACATGTTAAGTAAACTCTCCGTCTATAATGATTTTTATTTTGTAGAAGATATTTTTGGTATTGAAACGAATTTGACCACTGGTCCACCAACAAATGTATCACAAGATTTAGCATCAAACACCACAGCAACATCATTTTTTACAGACGGATCGACGTATTCTGTTATTCTCATCACTAGTTTATGTTTTGGAATAATATTTTTTCTGGTGGTGATTATACTAGTGATTAGGCGTGTTTATGATGGTTGGCAGAAACGACATTATTCTAGAATTGACTATTTGGTGAATGGAATGTATAACTAACTGTATAACAAACTGTATCATATATCTTTATATTGTATTCTTATCTACTTAATAAATTTGATTTTTGTAATGTTGTTTGGGTTGTAAATGACGATCATAATACCATTAGTACTGCATAAAGGTTTGTTGAAACACCTTTCATGAGAGATAATTGATTAGACTAATGAAACTGGGCAGTATACATAGAGTTATAAATATATTATTATATAACTCGACGGCTGTATATTAACTGTGATGACTAGTGAAAACAGACTCTATGAGCTCCGGATAGGGTAAAGGAATCTATGTACTGTAAATTACTAGCCTAACATAACAGTAAATGTCTTTATAACAACAGTAACGAACATAATACATGTATATAAAGTATTATAAACTAAATGAATGGGAGTCCTGAATAAAAAGCTTGAACCGGTATATTAAGGCTCAAACTCATTCAGGTCTTCGAAGATAATAAATCTATGTCATTCTAGATTATCTCCGTTGGTTGATCAGAAAAGAATTGTTAACATTCTATATAATCTTCCAGGTTCTTTGGTAAATACGGCTTTAATATACCCATTACATATTGTATCAGTTTCTCTTGAAGTTTCTCATCTCTGTAATATAACAATGTACATGGCTATATGTCTTTATTACACAACTCAAGAGCAACCAAATTCACTTATTAATCATTGTTATACATTAACTTAAGAGATTTTGATTGGTTAGTAGATATCATAAAAACCTGTGACGCTATTATGAGTCGAAATTCGACAGAACACGATTTAAAGAAATAGATCATAGCTGAAAAAAAAAAACATCGAAAGAAAATTCATATCTGATATCAGATTGATAATGATCAGATCAACCTAAACCATTCGTGGATATCAAATAAATTTTGCACAAAAATTATGTAAGTCAGCTACTACCTACCTAGCATAGTCAGTGGTTGGTATAGGTTGACAATTATCAAAGAACAGTGCAGTTTGACCTTTGTATTCTGGAGAAGTAGCTGCTTTTATCACAGTTTTAGCTCCTACCTCTGGTGACAATGTTTGGTCTATAATTGTGTAAAATTTCAGTTAAAAATGCATTTTAAGTGTTGAGACTACGAAAATAAATAATTCTAATAGACCTAAGGGCAGTAACTCAAAACTCATAGAAAAATCATAAGGACTCACTCCACTAAAACATTTTATGCAAATGATTGTGTAGGAATGTAGTCCAGGCTATTTTTAGAAATAATGTAGTCCAGGCTATTTTTAGAAATCTTCTTTCTCTCTCCCTTTTGGGGTTTTTGCCTGCCTATTTTACGGTAAAATTTGGTCTAGATTTGGAATTTGATGTCTGAAATTGCATTATCTTTCAGATTTGGTGAGATGATGAGAGACTTAAAGGCGGAAGGCTAATTCTAAAAATAGTCGTTTTGTGAAGTGCCAAACTCTAGCGGATGAGTATAACCGGTAGTAGTCTACTTTCAATTTTATTAGCTCAAAATTTTCATGGTCATCATATAATGAATTTTTTAGGAGACATTGAGAATTGGTCAGGCTTTCATTCGACATGTTGGAAAGCTTTCAACGAGATTTCTGGAAAAAGTTATAGAAGGTTGAATTTCGTGTTTTAACATGGGAAGAGATGGCATATGAATTAGTGGAGTGAGTCCATAAACTTTAAACTCATCCACGATAACACAAAGTTGCATCAGAATTAATGGAAAACCTATAACACTGTTATACATGCAATGCAAACCAAGCATCCAAGGCCCGGACCATTGCTTTCTTACCCTATGCTTATGGTGTTATCTATTTGCAAGTAAAAGCAATATCTCTGTCGCAGATATTCGAGTCTTTTAGGGGGCTCAGGTCTATCGTGCGACTTGCCACTGCATTTTCAAGTAGTAGTAACTGATCTATCGATGGATTAAGTCCACCTGAGCGTACCATGTCAAGATTTTTTGTCACCAAAGTAATGAGGTAGAGTTTAGAAGACGATGAAAACTTGTGATACCCGCTTTCGGTCACCTCCTCGCAATAATAATAAATTCTTACCCATGTAAGGATTGAGCATATCAAGAGCTGCAGTCATCTGCGTCTGAATAAATCCAGGATTACATGCTGTTATTGTAACTGATTTATTTTTCAAATGACGACTCAACCAATATGTTGACATCACCTGCAAAATTACAAATATCTCATATTATTCTAAACGTATAGTTTTCATTCTGAGATGACGAGAGGAGAATTTTTGTTAAAAAAAAATCTTGCATTTCTGTCCACAAGATATTTTTCTTACTAAAGGTGTGTTGTATTCCGAGAAGCATATAGACACTGATTGCACCTTTTGTTTGCGTCACAAAATCCCAGCGTTGAGGAGGGCAGAAATTTTATTGGCTGGCGGTGTAATCAATCTGACGAGGCCTGTCTTTAGGCCCTAACTTAAGTGGCTAAAATAATAAAGTTGCTAAAAAAGGATAGAGAGTTTAGTCTAATTTTAATAAGACTGTCACTCGCTCAGCAAAGAAATTTTAACTGCATGAATTGAAGGGAACGAAATCTGTCTAACGCCTTTGTACGATCACTACTGTTAAAAACTTACCTGACATAGTTTTGATTTGCCATAGACATTAAACGTTGAAAGGAATTGTTTTTCACAGTTCATATTATCAAACTCAATGGCCCCTTCAATGTACGAATCAGATGAAACTAAGGTGATTCTAGAATCATTACCATTCTTCAGTAATAAAGGTAGGAAATGTAGATTCAGTACAAATTGAGAAAGGAAGTTAACCTGGAACATAATTTCGTTACCATCTTTCGTCAGTTCTGAAAAGAAAAACACATCATACTGCTGAAAGATTTTAGCGGTCATCCCCCTCCCCTTTTCAGACCTTGAGATAGTTACGAGACCCATGACCGCTTGTGTAATTTTATTGTTTTTTAAAGATCGGGGACACTTGGACGACTATATAGGTTTATATCTATTTAAAATATACGACAATCATCAATGGTGAAGGTCTATACCTCTTTCCGTAGTAACCACCCCTGCATTGCAAATTAAACCTTTCAGGTTACTATATTGAGCTTTAAATGTCTCTATAAATTTCATGGTAGAATCAAACGATGACAAATCTAATTCCATTTTCACAACATTAAGTGTGATTGGTTCTCCGGATCTGGAACTCTCTTCAAAACTTTTTTCATATTCCATTTGCATCTGTTGGATAGCCTGGAAAAACGTCAATTAAAGAATTGCTAGATTATCGATATTCGAGGGATGAGTGCGAACAAGGTGAGAAGTGGGAAATAGAGTCAAAATGGAACATGGACCGTAGCTTTATTGTCACCATGATAACTGTAGAAAATATTACCACACATAGTTATTTCATCGAACAATTAGGTAACTAAAATTGGTAAAGTATTTCAACTTGGTCATTTACTTAAAACTACAGCTTTACCTTTTCCGCTTTTGTCATGTTACGACATGCGAGAATCACCTTGGCCCCCATTCTTGCAATGTTTTTAGCAACTTCATACCCAATACCTTAAAAATGTAATAGGAATTATATACTACTGTATATAGAACTGTGCTCGAAGTTATAAATTTTTTTATTTAATAAATTATGCATTATAAACATAATATTTTACGGAAATTTGCAAGAAAACGATTAAACATTTTATCAATTATTTAATCCAGTATGACTCCTTTCAATTGTAAAAAGCATTTAGTCGTTCGGATGGGACAATACACCGATGCCCCGTGTGCTACGGGCTGCGCACGTTAGGGATCTCTCGACAGTTGGAAATCGAAAAAGAGCAGGCTAATGCCGCTGTCCTGGCAAAATTTCCCTCACTGCACCCTGCATGGCGTTGCCTGTCTTCATTAGCCCACAAGGTGCAGAAAAGTAGGACGTAAAACTTCATTAATTTAATTTCGTTTCAATTGTATAGTACGAAGGTGGGTTTAAATTACAAACTGTCGAATTGAGAAAGTAATATGATGAAAATTAGACCTGTATTGGCACCGGTAACGATATAAACATCATCTTCTGTTAGTTTCACCTCGGGATAACCCAAATCAGAAGCCTCTGCTTTCTGTCTCCTTTAATAGAACACAAAATATAGTTTCTACTACTCCTACTTTTAATTTATAAACTGTACCTAGATCTTCACAGTATTTTATATTATTACTTAATCAAGGACAATAGCTGAAAAAAATCCAGTTGTGGGATCTCCAGGCAGTCTAAATGAAGACTCTTTTAGCTTTTGAGAACATAATTTGCAGATACTGTTTGAGCCAAGGATAAGATCGCAAAAAAACTTTCATCGAAATATTGTGAACTTCGAACCCTCCGACGTATGAGCTTATTACTATAATGTAACCCATTATTATCAATACCCGTATTAAAAATAGACTTGCATGTTTACTTTTTATATCAAACACTTCAAGTCTTATTTAGTGCATTCGAATCAACTATCTTGTTTGTAAACGTTTTCCACTCATTATACAGATTAAGAATCAAGGAAGGCAAATCTGAAAAAAGATTTCTAACAAATGACTTCGAAATTCTTGTCAGAATCCTCAGACTTCTTTACTTACTGAAGTGATTCGATCAATACACCATAAAAAAAATTTGCTTCAAAGAGCCTGATAACCCTTACATATAATAATGGTTTACCTCATTTGGACTTAATTATGTAGTTGGAATATACCATTCATGGGATTTGGGTAAAATAGGTTATGGCCATATACTCGCATATAGCATAGAGAATTAAGGGTGAGAATCAGTCTATGAACCACATTTCCTCTTCAATGTGCAAAATAATATAAAATACCAACCCTTCTCGAATCTGTCTTGCAAATACTTCTTTTTCTTCAGACATTTTATTTTTAACGTACGAGTCGATCAGTAGCCGTTTTTCGTCGACTGGTAAACGCTTGCTCTAAACGCGAACAGCTCGTCCAATAAAAACTGACTAGTATTTATTAAAATATCTACTATAATATAATGAAGCTATACTGCTAAGTAACAGGGACAAGATTTATGTTCTATATCGAATTATAGCAAAATGGTCCAGGTTGGAGGTGTGGGTAAATAAATGTAAGTTTGGGTTAGGTAACCCATAAAAATCACATGGGGTTTACTGTGGTCTGATTTTTATTTGACTATAGATTGGAAAGAATTAGAAAAGGTACAACTATTTATCTCTGAAAAATAGGAAAGTATTGGAAGATCCAACAGTTGTTACTGTGCAACGCATCATAAAGGAACCAGCAATAGATAAATATAAGCTTGATTAATATTTAACTGTGATATGCCTTTGAACTATTCTTGACTTTAATATCTGTTATTATAAATAAATCATATGATTTCTATCAGTCTGATATACCAAGGTTATACTTACTTATTACTGAGAGGATTACATAATAGCAGAAGATTTACAACGGAAATTCAACATCCTTTCTATTCACGTCATAAGATTTATTCAACTTGATTCCATACCCTGGCATTCGCCAAAATTTCCTGACGGGTTTTCCATATTCAACTTTATATCATGACAAGTATATCTGATATACACCGTCCAATCTCTTTCATACCCTGACAGTATTATCTGATATACACCCACATTCTATGTTATATCCTGACAGCATATCTGATATACACCCACTATACACCCACATTCTATTTCATATCCTGACAGTATACTGCTATTAACCCCACATTCTATTTAATATCCTGACAAGTATATCTGATATACACCCACATTCTATTCTATTTTATATCCTGACAGTATATCTGATATACACCCCATATTCTATATTATATCCTAACAGTATGTCTGATATTAACCGACATTATATTTTATATCCTGACAAGTATATTTGATATACAGCCCACATTCTATTTTATATCAAGACAGTATATCTGATATTAACCTACATTCTATTTTATATTCTGACAAGTATATCTGATATACACCCCATATTCTATATTATATCCTAACAGTATGTCTGATATTAACCGACATTATATTTTATATCCTGACAAGTATATCTGATATACAGCCCACATTCTATTTTATATCAAGACAGTATATCTGATATTAACCTACATTCTATTTTATATTCTGACAAGTATATCTGATATACACCCCATATTCTATATTATATCCTAACAGTATGTCTGATATTAACCGACATTATATTTTATATCCTGACAAGTATATCTGATATACAGCCCACATTCTATTTTATATCCTGACAAGTATATCTGATATACAGCCCACATTCTATTTTATATCCTGACAGTATATCTGATATTAACCGACATTCTATTTTAGATCCTGACAAGTATAACGGACATACACCCTTATACACAAAAATACGACAGTTACAAAAGATAGACATTTAACTAAATAATTATTCTGAAAAAAAGTTTTTACACAAAATCATAAAAAACCCATTTATTTCAGAATAATTCAAGAACATCTCCTGTAGCACCGTTGTCTCTGCTTGTATCCTTCTGTAATCTGTAAACTCATCAATCCAGTATAACAAATTTAGTATTTTGGTTTACTATGAAGATACTACGAAGGTCACTTTAGAATTGTCACAACATACGAGTATATTTGATTATTCACAATTGTATTCGACCAGTCATAGTATTAATCATTGCGTCATTCATTAAAATGGTATCAGTTTTAAACTCGGTCACAGATTCTTCTGGTAATTCCGCAATTGGATCACATACTACATCAAAATTCACTTTCTTAACTCCATTCTCAGATGGTTTTACGATATCTGGAAGTTGGTCGCCTGGGCTCACATCACATTTTTGAGGTGATTGATAAATAATAGGCTTGTCATTAGCATCAGTTTGTTTGCTGTCCTCTTTACCCTCATCTTTATTCGCCAAGATAAACAGTTCATTTTCAAATTGAATACCTTCTAAACTATGATGATCAGCCTCATTATTCGGCAAAGCCTTCTTAGCTTCATATCGCTTCTTCCTTCTCCGATAGATGATACACCTAAACGATAATAAATAGACTTATGCTTTCTGTACTTTATTTGTGATTAGAAAAGAGGATGGATCGATTAAAAATTCTTTACCGCGTTTCCCTTTAGCAGATAAATTTAATATTTGGGATCGATTATGATGTCAAGCTGACAAACACGCTTAAATAATAGTCATTTTACTTTTCTTGTGTGTAAATAATGCACACACGCGCATTAATCGTGACTAATAATAACATATACGGTCAAAATTCACTACACCATACAAAGCTATTTTGATAAAGCAAACAACGGTCCCGTCTATTTATTCGAGGACGTTGTGCCAGCGACGATATAGGTTACAATTACTCTTAAGATTTATTTCCAGAAAGTCTAATTAGATGAAATAAATCTCTTATCCAACATGAGATCAAAAAAGTTTAAATGGTATATCTGAAAAGCCTTACCATGTAATTAGAATAATGAGTAATATTAACAAAAATCCACCGACACATGATCCAATTAATACTGTAATTAAATAAAACTATACATTATTCCTTACTGTCCAAGGGTTATGCGATATTTTTTTTTGATAATAAAAAACATCCAAACTGTTTTTAATGTTAAAGAAATGACATTATTAGAGGATATGTAACGGATCTGTTCCGCAATGTCAGAGCCAAAGTAGGAGGATCCCCGAAAGTTTTTCAGACAAAAATCTCATAACTAGGTTAGAGATTCGGGCAATCTCAGATATCTCGCCCCTCCTTGGACATAAACATGGCTCCGTCTCTGCTGTTCCGACGAATCTCTGTTCCTAAAAGCATAATAAATATAAACTTACTAATTATGAATGTAATATCTGGTTTATCCGCATTTGGTTTAAAAGTTGTTGACTTTGGACCGTTAACACCATAATCATCTGGCGTTGATTTTGTTGTTTGTTCGGGAGAACTTGATGATGTATGAAATAACGATCCCGCGGTCCTTGGTGGAGGCGCTTGTGATGTTGATGGAACTTTTGATGGAGCTTTTGATGTTGATGGAGCTGTTGATTTTGATGTTGATGAAGCTGTTGATGTTGATGGTGGCGTTTGTGAAGTTGATGAAGTGGTCGGTAATGAAAGTGTTGATGATGCTGTGTTGGGATCTGTAATCTGGTCTGCACAGCTGATATTTACTCTCGAATCTGAATTAACATGGAATATATATTTTTATACTACATTAGACAATGCGACTAAGATGCATTGATATTCCAAAAAAGAAAATAAATTTGTCATTTTGCATTTCTTGACAAATCCATCTTGCCTAAGCTGATTCTCAAGCTGCTAAATGACACACATAATCTTGCTTAAAGCGTATTCTTTTACATGCTGCATGACACTTCAGTCTGCAAAAGACCCAATAGATGTATAAAACTTATTTTGCTACTTGAAAGTCAAAAATGAATTAAAGGACATTTGGCAACTTAAACTGAAAAATAATGGTGACAAAATATCCTGATCTATTGAGCTAAAGCTTACACAAATAAAACCAAACGATGTAGCCTGTGTTCAACTGAGAAGCAACCCATGCATCATTAATGCCGATAGGTATCCAATTCTTTCAACAAACGTCCCGAACTCGTCTCGAACGGTGGGCATCAGAACAAGTTAGCACAGGCTAAAAATAGTCCAGTTGTCTGAAGATCGCATAGGGTGAAACTCTGAGTAACAATAACATGTCTTAAAATATATAAATGTCAAGAACACTGAACACTCATTTTCTCACAATCTAGCATAATTCTCTAATAATTGATAAAACTATATGATACCATAACTTACTAGCACTTTGTGGAACTATCTGTAGACAAACAGTAACATCTGCATCAGATCTACCAGTAAATCTATATATCATCTCATCTCCTGTTTCCATATCCTTGGTTACCAGAGAATTGTCACATGTCAGTGTTTCTAAGACCCCATCTAATTCAGTTGATGCGTTAAATCCACATTCATTAATATCAAGGAATTTGGTTTCAACTTTGTCAGTAAATGGATCTTCTGTTATTGAAACCAATTCGACAGTACACTGGCAACCATCACCAATTGTATTATTAATTGGTATAAACAACTGCCTTTTAACATCAACAACAGTTTCGCAGGCTGTAACTGAAATAGAAATTTATTCCTTTAAAGTGTCAAAAGCAACCAACCACCACAGAGCAAAAATATATCTATATATCTACCATATTGATCAGTATGTTGGCGAGACTGTATTTATCTGATTAAACAGCCCAGCTATATGTTAGAATGATAGGCCTGCCTCAATGAAATTTAACAAAGGGTTTCTAAGTTCGCTGTGCGTGTAGGGGTCATTTATAGCTAATGTAATTTGAACGCACCATTCCGATTACAATCCCGACCAATCTAATTACGAAACGAAATCGTAAACTGTTTTTAATAAGATTGATTCCCGACGTAGACCTATGATGTTCTTGCTTCTTTTAAGATTAAGAGTTTAAGATTTGAAAACTTATTTTGAATTTTTTTTTACATGAGAAGGTGATCGATATTGAAACATACAAAAATTGAGTTGAATCATATCATATAAAGATCTTACCAGCATGTGGTGATTCCTTACACGGATCTTCCGAGGCTGAAAATAAGAGCAAGTTTGCTAGATGAGATATCTTTGAAATGATGATGAAACAAGTACTATTGTACAATAATTGCAGGATAATACAGGTGATATATGTTGACTTAATAAAGCTGTAAGTTGTAGTGTCAACCAGTCATCAAATCTCAAAATACTGTGAAGACTCTTATCTCATGCACTTTTCACAATGTATATATATATATTAGATTATATATTATATATATATATAATTATCAAACGTTCGTCACCAAAATTCCATGTTGTTTAGAATAGGCGAAGTAACTCTGTCTGCTTCGATCAGTTTGATTATGATAATTAGATTACAATTATTGATATCAATTATAAAATTATCTTGTTTTTGATAAATCTATATACAACGTTATGAAATGTAATGACTTAAAAAGAGAAAATTTCTAAGAGAAAAATAAGAGTAAATATGGATTATTGATAGATCTGGCTACATTCTCTCTAGTTTTGTGTTTGATGGCACAATATTATGTTGTTTATCATTATAAAACAAATTTTGAAAATTTTCAAGAAATTTTTTATTACGAAGGCCAGATTTTAAAATAATACATAAATTTGGTAAAAATGTTCATTTTTGACCAAAATAGTTTCTCTAAATTAATTTATAAGAAGAAGTTTGAAAGTATGTCTACGTTTATACTGAATTTAGATGTCTTTCAATCCTCGACGTAATACGGACCATATACCTTTCCAATGAAATTTCAGATGAATAATTCCAAATTACATGTATAATGATAGTTGCAGGGCATAGTTCCTGAAATACTTCCAAAACAAATCAAACATACACTTACCTGTCTCTTTCACCAGTAAAATAATCAGAAATCCAAAATAAGTTTTCCACGCCATTATAAGAAAAAACGTATCTGCAATAACCTATATGTATAATATTAATTGATTTCTGTAATCATTCAATCAATCAATTAATACCGAGTTATATTCTGATTGTATTCTGATAGAAATTCATGTTTTAATCTCAATACCTAGAAAGTCGTATTCTGCTCTAGTATTAATATGTCGTCACATGGTAGAATTGATCTGCTATAATAAATCACGCTAAACGACAGAAACCTTTTAAAGGTAATCTGATGAATCTAAGTGAAACAAGGAAAACTAACTCTTTTATCATTTAAATTTTTATAGAAAATAGAATAATGTAAAAAAAAAAACCAGGCATCCTCACTGATGTGAATCAATAATTATCAAATTAATATGTATGGCAAAGACCCGGTAGTGAATATCATAAAGGGGCTCAAATCATACAGTTGCTATGACTTATAACTTTATTAGTCATTTAGTCATAGAAAAGGGACTTGCAGTCCAACCACACACTGTGGCGAATATGCAAGCGAATGTACTTATGAATGGAAATATTTGACAAGCGCTCAAATTTCGCTACATTCGCCATGTCTGCGCAAGCATTGATAACAATTCGGTTCTCCGCCTCCTCATGAATATCGGTCAATTTAATGTTGTGAAGAGAAATGAAATGGAGTTTTACGTCCTACTTTTCTGCACCATGTGGGCTAATGAAGACGGCATACCGGTTGCAATGAGGGAAATATTGCCAGGACAACTGTCGAGGGATCTTTAACGTGCACAGCCTGCAGTAGCACACAAGGCCTCGCTTTATTGTCTCATCTGAACGACTAAACGCCTTGTCCATGTCAGCATCTTTTACCTACATCACTGACAGGGGGAAACCGGGAAAATCAGAAGTTATTTTCTCGACCTAGTTGTGAAGAGAAGACAGTCATTTTCGTAAGCATTGATCAGCCATTGGTAACTTTGGTAAAGTTTCGTAAAGGTATTTGAATGGCGTTTTATAACTTTCGGTCCCCTTCCTTACGAATGTCTTACCACTGTCGCCAATGTTACAAAATTAATGCTTTACCAATACTTTACCACTTTTTTTCAAAGTGCCATTTAGAATGTATTGCAAATGTCTTGCCAATATTCAGACACATATTTGCGGATATAAATAACAATCGCCCTAGTGAGGTGTCCAGAGAGTATAAAAGGTCCAATTTTCAATTCAATTTCATCATCACCGACGAGTGGCTGAGGTTCAAATATTTACTATCCAATCGCAATTTATTGGCGAATTCACCTCGAAATTCAAATATTCATATTCGCAAGAATATTCGCCACAGTGTGACACCAGCATAAGAAAACAGAATGACCTATTGCCTAAACAACAAAAGGAGAAAGTAATAGAACATATTTCGGGTAAAGGAATTTGCGATGATTACACAAATTCAAACTTGTATATAAACGTATTGTTAATGGATCTTTGTAATTATCCCAACCACTGTGTAGGCATTTGCTGCCATTTCTCAACTCTCGTCCTTTCCCTTGTTGCTCGTGAAAAAGTCGCGGTCTAAATTGCCACAATGGACTCTCGTATGGCACAAAACCTTCCTTGATACCAAGTACGATTGAACTAGAACTGTACATATGTGAAATCTAGATAAATTTATTGGTAGATGACAAATTAATACCCGCTTACAGCAGATGCTGATATTGCAGACTATAGTGGGATAAAAAATCTGGATAATACAAATCTGGTTAATATACTATGCTCCGTGACTTTATATCGTTATAACTAGCAAAAACAGGTGAAGGATATCAACTGATATTATGACAAGTACTTTTGTTTCCTTTCCTGTTTACCATAGAATTATAGCTAAATTAGATACCTAAATATAAATGTTATAGTGTGATATTTTTGAATGGTGGAGGAAATAACCTACAAACCAGCTATGAGATGATTTGTATATCGTTGTGTTCCAAATGACGACACGGTGAATTGACAAATATAATTAATTCCTAAAACCAGGGCTGTTCTTTCAACTGTTTGTCTTTTCTTCAATGGTTGGCCTATTCAAATACTACAACTGGCATCCTACAATGAGG